ACTGGATACAGTCCAACCCGGGGGCTTGGGGTTACCCTAGTTGACTTAAATTTATCATCTGGGGTGGGATGGACTTTGGAAGTCCATCCAAAGCTCCCTACAGAAAGCCATTGGAATCCAATGGAAGTGTCTGATTTTATTTATAGACATGCTGTATATGGCTAAATGGTAACAGGGTTATAAACATGTGGAGATGTGTGGCGACATACTGCCGGAGATTCAAGGTTAGAGGAAGTAAGCACTCTCTGGGAGGGAAAGAATAAATTGACGGGCAAAATAAACACAGCAGCCCTTGTTCCGCTTGCTCTCTTGTCTCCTCTCCCGTCTCTTTCTCTCTCTCTGCTCTGAAGTCAACGATCCTTCCTCTCTGAATTGACTGTTTTGGGCACTAGCAATACCATAATTTTTGAAAGTTATCAGGATAGTCCTGTTACCCAGTTTTATGTTAAGCAACAGGACATAATGTTTCAGTATATCAATCAGGACAAATCCTAGCTCTTTACAAATCACATGGTGGCAGCCAGCACACAGGGGACATCGCACTTAAATGCTGCAAGTGTGTGAGCCATGGCTCCTCAAAAAGACTACAGGGTCCTTCACTTACTGTACCAAACGCAACAGCCAATAGTCACCGGTTCCCCTAGATGTTTGAATATTCTCACTTTAAAACCCAATTTTTCTAAAGATATAATCAATCAAGAGAGCCATGTTTTTTTTTTTTTGAGACAGAGTCTTGCTCTGTTGCCTTGGCTAGAGTGCAGTGTGGCATCAGCCTAGCTTACAGCAACCTCAAACTCTTGGGCTTAAGCAATCCTCCTGCCTCAGCTCCCGAGTAGCTGGACTACAGGCATGCGCCAGCCACATGCCGGCTAATTTTTCTATATATTTTTAGTTGGCCAATTAATTTATTTCTATTTTTTTTTAGTAGAGATGGGGGTCTCGCTCTTGCTCAGGCTGGTTTCGAACTCCTGACTTCAAGCAATCCACCCATCTCGGCCTCCCAGAGTGCTAGGATTACAGGAGTGAGCCACCACGTCCAGCCTGTCTCTTTATCTGTAAAATGGGGATATGGACATTATCTCATTGGGCTGTGATAAAGATTAGATCAAATAACAGTTGATATTGGGTAGCCTGTTCTAGGAACTGCCTTCTTAGACTATACTTCTCTACAGAATGAAAGTTCCAGGGGTTGAGTACCAACCAACATAGTCCCTGTTGAGTTTTGCGATGCGTGTCCCTACTACACACTTTGCAAGATGTGACTCTGCCCCTTTGTTGCAGTTCATTGGATCAGAGGTGGACACTCGATCCAAAGTAGAGCAGTGAGACTCCCTTCCCCAAGGAACTTTGTCATTTGCACTGAGAAATCCCAGGCTCAGTCTCATTGGTGTCTTGAATGCAAAATATATAAACCTGGAGTTTGGGGTGGTCATTTTTTCACACGTGGACTGGGATGCAAAAGCAGCGCTCTGTAGCAAGAGAAGAGAATGCAACAGTTGCAGAAAGAAATGCAGCAATAAGAGATGGAGTCTCTAGGTCTGTGCACTCTGCCCTTAAGTCCTGCAGCCAATTTCTTTCTCCTTATAAACTTTTTGCTTAAGCTGACTTCAGATATGTGTCTCTTGTGCCCACAGAGACATATGATAACTAGTGACAGCACATATAAAAGCACTTCACATGGTGCCTAGGAATAGTAAGCCCTTGAATAAGTGGCAATTATTATTAATCCCCATTTTATTTTTATTTTTGTAGGTAGTCAAGTGAAGCAGTGGGAGTGAGAAGGAACAAAGGAATCTGTAACTGGTTGTGGTCCATTAGTTGCAAACACCACTACTCTTAGGATCAGCATAATCCCCATTTTAGAGATAAGAAAGTTGAGCAGAGAGATGAAATAACTTGTCTTGTGTCACACAGCTCTTTAGTGGTAAAGCTGATCTGGATCCAGGTCTCCTGACCCTAGACCTGGGTTCTGTTCTGCCAATTCTTTGAATTGCGAGATAAAAACTTTCGGAAATAGGCTGTAAGTATGTCAGTACCCATACACAGTTACAAATAATTAATTCAAAATAAACCCAATGTATCCATCACCCAGGATAAGAACTAGAAAATTGGCTACAGCCCAGAAGACCTTCCTGTGCCCCTCCCTGACACGTCTCTCTCTCTTTCCCCACCCGAGGTACGATATCCTGTTTTTGTTTATAGTAACGTTTTAATAGTTTTCCACCTACATATGCAACCTTAAGCCACATGATTTAGTGTTGCTTGTTTTGGACATTTTTTTTATAAATGAAATCACAATGTGCCTATTCTTTTTTGACTTGTTTCTTTCTACACTATGTTTGTTCTATCCATGCTGTTTATGTGTAACTATGGTTCATTTATTTTCTTTGATGTACTGTTCACAATGTATTTATCCAGCCTATTGTTAATGGATGTTGGGTTATTGCGCAATTTTTGGCCAGCAATATACTATGAGCATTCTATTTGCATTGCCTAGTGTATAATATGCAAGAATATCTCCTGTATGTATAGCTCGGAGTGGACCTGCAGTATTCTGGCTTCCTTTGTCTTATATCCTTGTCAGTTTGGGTTCTTTCCATGTAGATGCCAATACTCAAGACCACATACACAGTACTTTTACTGTGTAGTTCTGTGAGAAACACAGAGATTTAAAACATGGTATCCTTCCTCAAAAAGTTAAATGTAGAGTTACTATGTAGCCCAGCAAGTCCATGCCTAGGTATGTACCCAAGAGAACTGAAAACATTTCACACAAAAAACAGTACACCAATGTTCACAGAAGCATTATTCATAATAGCCAAAAGGTGAAACAACCCAAATGTCCATCAACTGATGACGGATAAACCAAATGTTTTGTATCCATACCCTGGAATATTATTCAGCTATATAGAAAGGAACAAAGTACTGACCCATGCTACAACATGAATGAATCTTGAAGTCATGATGCTATGGAAAAGAAGCCAACACAGAAACCACATATGATTCCACTTAAATGAAATGTCAGAATATCAGAGACAGGAAGTAGATGAGAGGTTGCAGGGACTGGGGGAAGGGGACAATAGGCAGGGACTGCTACGGGTTCTTTTTTGAGAGGTGATGAAAAGTCCTGGAATCAGATAGTAGTGATGGTCTCATAAGTATGAAAAAACACTGAACTCTGTATTTCAAAAGGGCAAACTTTTATGGTAAGTGTGTGTCTTTAAAACGTAAATATAAAACACATCCTTATCATTCATTTATTCAAAAACACACATATGAGTACCTAAGCTATGCCAGACACGCCCCAGTGCATTGTGGGGAAGCAGCGCCCAGTGAGTTAGCCAGGCCCCTGCATTAGTCAGGGCTGTCATCAGGGTCCTGGCAGGTAACAAATGGCACATGCAAAAGAGGTCGCTGAGGGAGTTAATGAAGGGGCCATTTGCAGCAGTGTGGGCAGGCTGAGAGAAACCCTGGATGAAGGCATGGTGGTGCGTTCCAGGGTGGCAACACATGGCAGCCATGACCCCGCCCCGACCCTGCAAGGGCAAGAGAGAGGACGTGGTTACCAGGGCCCGGCAGGAGCCGTAGCAGAGAGCAGAGACGGAGCCACCCTGGCTTTGTCGTCGTTGCTCTTCAGTCTCCTACTTGTCTGCCATTAGAGGACACAACTGGAAGCCAGTGGGTTGGCAGCTTGGGCTACGGATTCTGTGCCCCGGGGCAACGAGCCGCATGCACCTGAGCCAGGAGCCTGCAGAGACCCCAGGCAGCCGCCCCGGGCCCAGGCAGGAGGGGAGAAGGCTGGAGAGAGAATCCGGATGAGCAAACGGGCATCTAGCTGTCCCGATCCTCCTCGTGGAGTTTACATTTTTTGAGCGGGAGACACAGAAAATAACACAATAACAGAATGCGATGAATAAACAGGCTGACAAGCAGCAAGGGCGTCTTGGTGCGTCGGCGGGTGCGGAGCACTTTAGATCTGGTGCCCGGGAGGCCTTTCCAGGCAGGGGGCTGCCGCTCCAGCTGGGACGCCTAAGGACGAGCCCTGGGTGACGAGGAAGCTCGGAGGGAAACCGATCTTGGGAGGGAACCAAGATCCCCTCTGGGACATATGAAAGATAGGCAGATGCAAACCAGAAAAATAACAACTTGGGCTGACTGAGAGCCCCTGGGCTCTCGGCGAGGCGAGCCAGGGAGGATGGCTGTGCGCGATGCCCAGGGCCCGCCTCCCGGAAGCCGCGTTGTGTGAATTTATCTCCTCTCTGTGTGGACTTTATCTCTCATGGCTCTCATTGATTGATTATATTCTTTAGAAAAAATTGGGATTTTAAAGTGAGAATATTCAAACATCTAGGGGAACCGAGTGACTATTGGCTGTTGTCGTGGTAAGTGAAGGACCCTGGAGTCTTTTGAGGAGCCATGGCTCACACACTTGGCAGCATTTAAGTGGCATGTCCCCCTGTGTGCTGCATGCCGCCATGCGATTTGTAAAGAGCTAGGATTTGTCCTGATTGTATACTGAAACATTATGTCCTGTGCTTAACATAACTGGTAACAGGCTATCCTGATAACTTTCAAAAATATGTGTATGACTTAGTGCCCAAACAGTCAATTCAGAGAGGAAGGATCGTTGACATTCAGAGCAGAGAGAGAGAAAGAGGGGGGGGGAGAGAGACAGAGAGAGCAAGCGAACAAGGGCTGCTGTGTTTATTTTGCCACGGTCAATTTATTCTTTCCTCCCAGAGAGTTGCTTACTTCCCTCTAACCTTGAATCTCCGGCAGTATGTTCGGCCACACATCTCCACTGTTTATAACGCTCGTTACCATTTAGCCATATACAGCATGTCTATAAATAAAATCAGACACTTTCCATTTGATTCCATGGCTTTCTGTAGGGAGCTTTGGAGTGGACTTCTCAAAGTCCATCCCACCCCAGATGATAAATTTAAGTCAACTGGGGTAACCCCAGCCCCCCGGGGTTGGACATGTAATCCAGTTCTTACCAGTGGAATGTGAGCGGCCATCGGCCGAGGGACCTCCAGGAGAAGTTTCCTCTCCAAAGAGAGTGTCACCAGAAAGAATCGCTGAGGCCATCCTGTGACCAGCCTGCGGATGAAGCAGACACCAAGTAAAGAGCTAGACAGCACAGGAGTCTTTGTTGACTCAAGGTGCAAACTTCCTTTAACCCTGAAGCTTGCCCTATGGTAGGACTTCCATTTACATGAAGATCATAAGTTTCCTTATTGTTTAAGCCATTTGCGTTGAGGTTTCTATTACTTGCAGCTGGAAGCATCCTCACTGATAAACTAGTCTTCTGAGGAATGACTCATGGGGAAACAATCCTCCCGGCTTCTGATTAACTCTGGCCTCCTGAGATAATTATCTGGGCCATCAGATATAGAAAAATATGGAGGTCATAAGATTAATTATAGTGGTTGCCTTTAGGGAGAGGGTGGGGATGGTGACTGGGAGGGGGCCTCAGAGGGGCTTCTGGAACACTAGTAATGTCTTGATCTGGGGGTGGTGACATGAGTGTGTTTACTTTAGGATATGAGCTATACACTCATGAGTTTGTGTACTTTTCTGCATGTAAGTTCTATTTCAATATTAAAAGCTTACTGGCCAGGCGTGGTGGCTCACGCCTGTAATCCTAGCACTCTGGGAGGCCAAGGCAGGAGGCTCGCTCGAGATCAGGAGTTCAAAACCAGCCTGAGCAAGAGCGAGACCCCATCTCTACTAAAAATAGAAAGAAATTAATTGGCCAACTAAAAATGTATAAAAAAACTAGCGCGGATGGTGGGCAACATGCCCTGTAGTGCCCAGCTAACTCGGGAAGGCTTGAAGGCAGATGGATGGGCTTGAAGCCAGGAAGTTTGAGGTTGGGCTGTGAGCTAGGTTGATGCCACGGCACTCTAGCCCAGTCAACAGAGTGAGACTCTGTCTCAAACAAACAAAAAAAAGCTTATTACTAAAAATATAATACTGTAACCAGACCTCCAAACAAACTCATTATATCCTGTCTGGAAGGATATGGGTACTAAGTTGGTTATTTATTAGGCAGCCAAACAAAGCTATAGGATATGCTTTTTTTAAAAAAAATTTTAAGTTAAATTTTATAATTGATTCTTTTTTTTTTTTTTTCCATGGTCTAAGAGTTGAAAAACAGATATTCTTTCTTTAATAAACTCCCAGAAGCTGATTATAAAACTCTCATGTCTCCAGATAAGCCCAACCCATCCTTATCAGCCAAAATATTTCCCTTTTTGGTTTGGATGGAAGGACCTCAAAACCTTGCAAATGAAGGGCTTCATCATTTTTAGAATCTAGTCATGATTAATATTAATATTAAAAACCAGAATAAAAACTAACAGATTGGAGTCTGTCCACGGAAGAGCAACATTCTGGGAGATGGTAGTTATGAGAGGAAAACTCCAAGGAAACCACTGGGTTTGGAAGAAAGCAGCTGTGAGCCTCATGCAGCCCAGGTTACTGAAACCTGTAGTTCATGGAGGAAGAGACATAACGTGCTTACTTGTTGGTGGAAGAAGAATGGGCTTTGGGGACCAAATCATCTAGAGAGACCTGCAAGGCTCTGCAAGAGGAAACTCAGCTAAGGAAAGTTACCATACATCATACCTTAGAGAGTGGAATGGGATGTGTGGAGGCAGGAACCTGGGAGTATCAATCCTCATGAGGGACAAAATTTGGAGAGGCATCACATCATGAAACTAAATGGAGAATATGGTAGGTTGGTGGTCTGGTCCATGGAATTCCAATTCTTTTAAAAATGTTTTATTATATAGTATATATATATAATATATTATATATATTTTTTTTTTTTGAGACAGAGCTCACTCTGTTGCCCAGGCTTAGAGTACCATGGCATCAGTAGCTCACAAGCAACCTCAAACTCCTGGGCTCAAGCAATCCTCCTGCCTCAGCCTCCCGAGTAGCTGGGACTACAGCATGTGCCACCCATGTCCGGCTAATTTTTTCTATATATATTATTGGCCAATTTAATTCTTTCTATTTATAGTAGAGATGGGTCTCACTCTTGCTCAGGCTGGTTTCGAACTCCTGACCTCGAGCGATCCACCTGCCTCAGCCTCCCAGAGTTGTAGGATTACAGGCGTGAGCCACCACGCCCGCCTTTTTAGATATTTTTTAAATTTTATTAATTTTATTCTCTTCTCTTTTTTTTTTCTTTTCACCCAACATGAACTTGACTATGGAATCCAATTCCTTTAGAGATGTGAGGCGTCTGCTAAGCAGTCACTAGATCCATAGAATGGAAGCTCATAAGAAATAAGTGGAAACATTATAATACATTCATCTTCCACCTAACCATGGTGCTTTCACAATTTATATCTTCATTACAACCTTTTCAGGTATGTTAAGATATTATCATAAGAGAGTCAGTGACTAAGACAACAGGCTTAGAGTTCAGACGACCTGGCCGAATCCCGGCTTTGACTTACTAGGAAGAAATGGAATTGCAAACTTTACTGAACTGTGTCATGTGAATGTCAATCTCAGAAGGACATTTGGCAAAGTCTGGAGACATTTTGATTGTTGCAACTGGAGGGATGTCATTGGCATCTGGCCGGATAGAGGGCTGCTGCTAACATCCTACAAGGCATGTGAGACAGCCCCCAACAATTCTTTAGCCAAAATGTCCATTGTGCACTGTTGTACAACCTTGGGCCATCAGATTCTCTCTCTCTCTCTCTCTCTTTTTTTTTTTTTTGAGACAGAGTCTTGCTCTGTTGCCTTGGCTAGAGTGCAGTGTGGCATCAGCCTAGCTTACAGCAACCTCAAACTCTTGGGCTTAAGCATCTCCTGCCTCAGCCTCCCGAGTAGCTGGGACTACAGGCATGCGCCACCCATGCCCGGCTAATTTTTCTATATATTTTTAGTTGGCCAATTAATTATTTCTATTTTTTTTAGTAGAGATGGGGGTCTGCTCTTGCTCAGGCTGTTTCGAACTCCTGACTTCAGGCCAATCACCATCTCGGCCTCCCAGAGTGCTAGATTACAGGAGTGAGCCACCACGTCCAGCCTGTCTCTTTACTGTAAAATGGGATATGGACATTATCTCATTGGCTTGTGAAATAAGATTAGATCAAATAACAGTTGATATTGGGTAGCCTGTTCTAGGAACTGCCTTCTTAGACTATACTTCTCTACAGAATGAAAGTTCCAGGGGTTGAGTACCAACCAACATAGTCCCTGTTGAGTTTTGCGATGCGTGTCCCTACTACACACTTTGCAAGATGTGACTCTGCCCCTTTGTTGCAGTTCATTGGATCAGAGGTGGACACTCGATCCAAAGTAGAGCAGTGAGACTCCCTTCCCCAAGGAACTTTGTCATTTGCACTGAGAAATCCCAGGCTCAGTCTCATTGGTGTCTTGAATGCAAAATATATAAACCTGGGAGTTGTGGGTGGTCATTTTCTCACACGTGGACTGGGATGCAAAGACAGCGCTCTGTAGCAAGAGAAGAGAATGCAACAGTTGCAGAAAGAAATGCAGCAATAAGAGATGGAGTCTCTAGGGTCTGTGCACTCTGCCCTTAAGTCCTGCAGCCAATTTCTTTCTCCTTATAATACTTTTTGCTTAAGCTGACTTCAGATATGTGTCTCTTGTGCCCAAGAGACATATGATAACTAGTGACAGCACATATAAAAGCACTTCACATGGTGCCTAGGAATAGTAAGCCCTGAATAAGTGGCAATTATTATTAATCCCCATTTTATTTTATTTTTGTAGGTTAGTCAAGTGAAGCAGTGGGAGTGGAGAAGGAACAAAGGAATCTGTAACTGGTTGTGATCCATTAGTTGCAAACACCACTACTCTTAGGATCAGCATAATCCCCATTTTAGAGATAAGAAAGTTGAGGCAGAGAGATGAAATAACTTGTCTTGTGTCACACAGCTCTTTAGTGGTAAAGCTGATCTGGGATCCAGGTCTCCTGACCCCTAGACCTGGGTTCTGTTCTGCCAATTCTTTGAATTGCGAGATAAAAACTTTCGGAATAGGCTGTAAGTATGTCAGTACCCATACACAGTTACAAATAATTAATTCAAAATAAACCCCAATGTATCCATCACCCAGGATAAGAACTAGAAAATTGGCTACAGCCCAGAAGACCTTCCTGTGCCCCTCCCTGACACGTCTCTCTCTCTTCCCCCACCCGAGGTAACCGATATCCTGTTTTTTGTTATAGTAACGTTTTAATAGTTTTTCCACCTACATATGCAACCTTAAGCCACATGATTTAGTGTTGCTTGTTTTGGAACATTTTTTTTTATAAATGAAATCACAATGTGCCTATTCTTTTTTGACTTGTTTCTTTCTACACTATGTTTGTTCTATCCATGCTGTTATGTGTAACTATGGTTCATTTATTTTCTTTGACGTACTGTTCACAATGTATTTATCCAGGCTATTGTTAATGGATGTTGGGTTATTGCCAATTTTTGGCCAGCAATACTACTATGAGCATTCTTATTTGCATTGCCTAGTGTATATATGCAAGAATATCTCCTGTATGTATAGCTCGGAGTGGACCTGCAGTATTTCTGGCTTCCTTTGCTCTATATCCTTGTCAGTTTGGGTTCTTTTCCATGTAGATGCCAATACTCAAGACCACAGTACACAGTACTTTTACTGTGTAGTTCTGTGAGAAACACAGAGATTTAAAACATGGTATCCTTCCTCAAAAAGTTAAATGTAGAGTTACTATGTAGCCCAGCAAGTCCATGCCTAGGTATGTACCCAAGAGAACTGAAAACATGTTCACACAAAAACATGTACACCAATGTTCACAGAAGCATTATTCATAATAGCCAAAAGGTGGAAACAACCCAAATGTCCATCAACTGATGGACGGATAAACCAAATGTTTTGTATCCATACCCTGGAATATTATTCAGCTATAGAAAGGAACAAAGTACTGACCCATGCTACAACATGAATGAATCTTGAAGTCATGATGCTATGGAAAAGAAGCCAGACACAGAAAACCACATATGATTCCACTTAAATGAAATGTCCAGAATTCAGAGACAGGAAGTAGATGAGAGGTTGCCAGGGACTGGGGGAAG